AAAAAAAAAAAAAAAAAAAAAAAGAATCAGACACCCAAAGGAGAATGGGAAGAATATTCTGGCAGGCCGTTGTGGTGGCAAACTAGAATGTGATCGATTACCCTGAATACTAAGAACGGACCAAGCATAACCTCACTCGCTTTTGGAGAGAACTTAGGATTCTGTAGCACTCGAAGCACAGGACGGAGGGGGCCAGGTCTCCGGGTCCTACAGGTATTTGGGACTGCCACGTAGTGAGGGCCGGTGGGTGCCAGGCTTGCCGTGTAGACCAGCTTTCAGTAGCCACTTGGGGTAGGGTGGTGGAAGCCCTGCCCATCAGCTGCTCTAACCTGGCTTTTGTTCCTTGGCCTTTCATTCATCCATCTTTGAGATCTCCTCACAACTCCCTCCAAAACTACTGGGTGACATTTTTCTTTTGGAAAGTGACACTGAAATAAAATCAATATCCATGCCATGGACTTTGGTGATGACCCTAGAGAGCCACAGCAGATGACAGGGGGAAGAGACTTGGGAAGTAAGTAAGTGCTTCCCTTTTATTTTTTTTAAATTTTAAAAAATGTTTGTTTATTTCTGAGACAGAGACAAAGCATGAGTGGGGGAGGGGCAGAGAGAGAGAATCAGAAGCAGGCTCCAGGCTCTGAGCTGTCAGCACGGAGCCCGACGCGGGGCTCGAACTCACAAACCGTGAGATCATGACCTGAGCCCAAGTCGGTCGCTCAACTAACTGAGCCACCCAGGCACCCCCCCCCCACTTTTTTTAGAGAGAGAGAGAGAAAGTGAGCACGAATGGGGCAGGGGCAGAGAGAGAAGGAGAAAGAGAATCTTAAGCAGGCTCCCACCCAGTGCAGAGCCCAACGCAGGGCTCAGTCTCAAAAACCGTGAGATCATGACCTGAGCCAAGATCAAGAATCAGACACTCAACCAACTGAGCCCCCCAGGTGCCCCGGTCCTTCCGTTCTGTATGGGTCTCAAGGCCCAGAGAGATGAAGCAGTCACTGATGGCTAAAACCGTAGCTGAGGCCACTGACTTGGGCAGCAGCAGGCAAACCAGTAGTGGACCTTGGGGACAAGGCAATGGTTGGAGGACGAACTTCACTCTGTCAGCCATGACTTACCTGATGAAAACCCCAGATAGACCAACCGGAGTTTAAAAACTTGCCAGGGCTGCACAGATGTTCCCTTACTGCTAATGTGGAACGGGACCGAATATCCAAGTGACCGGGAAAATGCCCCAGCTGTCACTGATGTAGGTTTCAGCAAGGTACTTAGGACCGCCTGGGAACACCTTTCCCTGTGGCCGTCAGAGCAGGTAGCATGGGGTGGGACAGCCAAGAAAGTGATCACCTGTCCCTACCGAGCTCTGACCTGCCAGGAAGAGGGAAAAGAATGAGTCTGCACCTGACTCTGAGGGGGTAGGTCACGTCTTGATTCTTGAGCAGCGCTGCCCACTAGAACTTTCTGCGGTGATGGAAATATTCTGTACCTGGGCTGTCCAATCCGATCGCCACTAGTCACATGAGGACTGAGCATTTGAAATGCGGAGGAACCGAGTTTTCAATTTTACTTAATTTTAATTCATTTAAATTTAAATAGCCCCACGTGGCTAGTGGCTACCATATGGGAGTGTGCAGCTCTAGAGAATTATGTAGCTCAGAGAACGAGAACACATCCTGGCCTTGGGGAATGAGGGATCAAAAAGACATGTATCTGGGGCTGCCTGGGTGGCTCCATCGGTTGAACGTCCCAACTTCGGCTCAGGTCATGACCTCGCATTTGAGTTGGAGCCCCACGTGGGGTTCACTGCTATCAGCGAACAGCCAGCTTCGGGTCCTCTGTTCTCCTCTCTCTGCCTCTCCCCCACTTGGGTGCACCCTCTCTCTTTCTCTCTCAAAAATAAAAAAACATGAAGAAGAAGAGAAGAAGACATAGATCTCTCAGTGCCCTCGGTGCCAGCCAAGGCAGGGCTACAGATACCGCACCCCTTCCTGCCTGGAAGCTGCAAGGCTCTAGCTGGCTGTGCCCCTGGGGCAGAAGCCCCTGCTGTGCCCAAGCTCAGCCCCCTCTTTCTTGCCTCCTGGGCACTCAGGGTTGCATTTACCTCTTTCTCCGCCTCTTTAAGTTCAGCTTCCTTCTCTTTGACTCTCTGGACGAACATCTGTCTCATCTCTTCCTCTTTCTTCTGGAGCTCCCCTAGGAACTCGTTCCTTTTGGCCTCATACGTCTCCTGTAAGCTGCAGACACAGTCAGGTTAATCCCCCTGCCTCTGGAACGGTTCCCATTCAACGAAAACTGGCGCCGGCGATCCTCCTCGGGTTCCCCCCAGCCTCCCCCAATTCCGGGACAGGTGCAAAAACAGAACCGCAGAGCTGCAGGCAGCTTGCCTAGCATGTGACTGCAGGATCACAGGGCTGCTTGAGGGGGACAGGGCAGCCCTGGTGAACGGACACAATATTTGGAACCGGACTTAGAACATCTGCTTCTGTGCCCTGGTTATACAGGCGAGGAAACCGGACCAGAGAGGTGAGGTGATTTGCTCAAGACCACACAGCTAGTCAGGCGAAGGGCAGGGACCGGAAGCTGGGTCTCTCATCTCTTAATCTGGATCCTTCCTCTGCATTGTGCTCCCAGGTCCTGGCTCTGAAACTGACTGCAGTTTCAGAGTTAATAGTTAATGAGCTATTAACTAGCTATAATAGTTCATGAGCTATTTCTTTCTTTTTTCAAGTTTATTTTATTTTATTTTTTTTGACGGGGGGAGGGTCAGAGAGAGAGGGAGAGAGAATCCCAAGCATGCTCCATGCTATAAGTGCTGAGCCCAACATGGGCTCGATCCTATGACCATGAAATCATGACCTGAGCCTAAATCAAGAGTTAGACAGTCAACTGACTGAGCCAACCAGGTGCCCCTTAATGTACTATTTCAAACACTTGGTGAGACTCCATCATGTGCTAGACACAGAACTAAGTGACACTATGCTAGTCACTCAACATCTAGAGCGGACAGCCACTATGCCCACCATCAAGGAACTCATGGTCTACTGGGAGATGCCTAGGCCAAGTCTCCCTGACCCCAGCCTGGACTCAGTTTTATAGAGACAGGAGTCAGCCTAGTGAAGAAGAGGAGGAATCATGCTCTGAAGAGGGCGGCATGTGGAAAGGCACGTGTGGAGAAAGGATGATGTACTTGGGGAACCAGGCGTAGTTCAACATGGCGGGAGGGGATCAAGCAAGCTGTGAAGTAGAGGGCGTTGAGATTCCTGAGTCTGTCTGACAGGAGAGAGTAGGTGTTGGACGCTGTGTTACAGACTTGGTCATGTATCCACTGCGGGGTTTTAAGCAGGAGGACTGGTTTTTTTTTTTCAGGCAATTTGAAAATGAGAAAGACCACTCTGGCTGCTGCATGATGGACAGACTTCCCAACAATCCAAATAAATGATGGGATCTCTGCCTCCCACACACAAAAAAAGCCACACACACACACACACAAAGAATGAGATCTTGCCATTTGCCACAATATGGATGGAGCCAGAGGGTGTTAACGCTAAGTGAAATAAATCTGTCGGAGAAAGACAAATACCATGAGATTTCATTCACGTGTGGGATTTAAGAAACAAAACAATCGAAGAAAAAGACAAACAAACAAACAAAAAAAACCAGACTCTTCAATACAGAGAACAAACTGGTGGTTGCCAGAGAGGAGGTGGGTGGGGTATGGAGGAAATAGGAGAAAAAAGAAAAAGAAATGATGGGATCTGAATGTGAAGGGCTGGTAGGGACAGAGGATTTGGGGGAAGTTAGGGAACAGTAAGGGAAGCAGAACTCCTGGAGCTTGGAAGCACTTTAAAATAATTCGGGGGGTGCCTGGGTGGCTCAGTCGGTTAAGCATCTGCTCTTGGTTTTAGCTCAGGTCACGATCTCACATCTCCAGGACTTTGAGTCCCACTGACAGCACAGAGCCTGCTTGGGATCGTCTCTCCTTCTCTCTCTGCCCCTCCCCAGCTTGCGCTGTCTCTGTCCGTCTCAAATAAATGAATACACTTAAAAAAAAAAAAAAAAAAGGAGTTAAGCTGAAGAAAATGAGCGTGCCATGAGGCCAAGAAGGAGTAGCGAGAGGACTCAAACCAGACAGGTCGGTGCTAGAAAAGCCAGGGCAGAGAGAATTTCCGGAAAGGAGGCAGTGGTAGGAATATCTAACGTTGAGTTTAAATCAAAGATGGGACTCGGAGCCCATGTGAAAGCTTTCTTAGCCCGCATGTATCTCCCTGACTTCCTAATTGCGGCCTGACATTTCCTGAGAGGGGACTGAGCTGTAATAAAGGGCACCACATAATTTAAAATGTGGGGCTTGGGGCGCCTGGGTGGCTCAGTCGGTTGAGCGTCCGACTTCAGTTCAGGTCACGATCTCACAGTTTGTGAGTTCGAGCCCTGCGCCAGGCTCTGTGCTGACAGCCTGGAGCCTGCTTCACATTTTTGTCTCCCTCCCTCTCTGCCCCTCCCCTGCTCACACGCTGTCTCTCTCTCAAAATAAATAAAGATTAAAAGAATTTTTTTTTTTAATGTGGGACTTATGTCACACTGCATGCATACAGATCAGACGATGATACTTGGCGTGTGGTTCCTGTCGGCATAGCAAACCGCTTTGAAAACAGTCCTCTTCTCTGAAAGCACCTCAAGTTCTGATTTGAGACGGACGTCAATGGTTATTAACACCCGGTGGTCAAAACCAAACTTGCGCCTGAACGCCAGACACTAGGGACAGCGCCTGAAGGGCCTGAAGTTCACTGATACGCGTGCAATGACGGCCACCTGGTTCCACTTGGTTTGATAATGGGAAGGAGCGGATTGGACACCTGGCAGGGCAGTCGGAGTCTGCTGAAGGACGTGGGTCAGAGGACAGGCACAAACTGCCACGTTGCAGAAAACAGCCTCGGCTCCGGGGTCCCCTCTGCTAGAGTTGCCCGCGGCTAGTGCGCATGTGCGTACGTGCGCGCGCAGCAAGGAGCTTGGGCGCCCCGCCCCCTGCCCACCGCACCCCCCCCCCCCCCCCCCCCCCCCCCCCCCCCCCCCCCCCCCCCCCCCCCGGGTCCTCTGGGCCTCCGGGGCCGGGCGCTCGCCAAGCCCGCTCTGCCACAGCCGCGGGGGTGACAGAGTGGACCGGGCAGGTGACAGCCCTGCTGCTCTAAGGTGTCGGCACCCGCGTCTCGCCTCCCGTGTGAATTCTCCCGGGCAAGCCTTCCGCAGCCCCTGGGTGGGCTGGGCTGGCCAGAGAGGTACCTGAAGGGCTTGCTGTCGGGGTCGGTGTCCTGGAAGCCCATCTCCTCCAGCTTGCAGCGACGGTACAGCTCGTAGTGCCGGCTGTGGGTCTGCTCCCGGAGGTCCTCCATGTTCACCCGAATCAGCATCTCCCGCAGCTTCACAAAGTCGCAGTGGGCCTCGTTCTCAACTGCACGGCAGGGGCGGGGGCATTGAAAGCACACTGAAAGGCAGGCTAGGAGCAGCGGAAACGGACAAAACGACAGGCCAGGCGCCTAACAGCGACATCGCCTTTCCACCTCGCGTATGCAGAGCCCGCGAATGTGCCTCCTGATTCACTTTCCCGCTGCAAACGCCCATGAAGAGTCACAAGGATGACAGTAAGGGAAGATTGCAAGACGGCCAAAAAAATACCTGGGAAGACATTCCGTAGCACCCCGACCCAAATTCGCGGAGCAGACACTCACAGGACTTTGTTTGCTCTGCACCGCTTTGGGGATAATGGCGAATGCACATTCAGCCATCTGTCCCAATACATATTTGCGGCATCTCTGTTCCCAGTATTGTATGAGGCGCCGGGAATTCAGAAACGAAGTCATGGAGTTTTGCCCTAAGGAGCTTAGTTTAGTGAAAAAGTAGATGCAAAGAGACGAATATAATACAATGTAAAAAATTACCAACATGGAGGTGTATGGCCAAGGCACAGTGAAAGCCCAGAAGAAGGGGGCGGCGAGGGGGGGGGGGTGCACTAAGAACTCCTAGCAGAGTGAAGCCTTCACCAAAGAGGCAATTCTTAAGTTAACTCTCGACGGAAGAATCAGAATTTATCAGGCAGATAAGGAAATAGCCCATGCAAGGCCTCGGTAAGGGCAGGCAAGGTTATGTGGCTGGTAAATTGCAGTTAGGATTCAGACGCAGGCAATCTAAAGGCCAGGCAAAGGCTCTGAGCAGGTGCCACGTCTAAAGAAGGACATCTATAGATGGCAGTGACGAGGAGGGGTGTGGACCGCAGGTGTGGCCCATCTGGACGGTAGGTAGTAGCTTCAGAGGAGGTGTTTTTTAGGGGGTGGATAATGGCCTGACAGCAGCAACGTGGCCAGGACAAAGTGGACCCCACTTTCCGGCCTGAATGACGAGCCCCCTCCTCAAAAGAGTATGGCATATGGCAAAGGGTCTGCATGCGGGGCAGTGGCCAAGAAGGATGGAGACACAGACCAAAGCAAAGCAAAGCGGACTTCTGGTTGGAACGCCAGGCTGTGAGCAGCCTCTGGCCCGTGTCTCCTCCAGGCATGGCTCCACTGGGCTGCTGTGGCAGTGTCTGGCCTGACCATGTGGGGACGGTGGTGTCTGAGACAACCAACAGGCACACTCACCCTAGGTTCTGTCTTACTGGGCCTGGGAGAGGGTAGTGGGCGCGGGGAGGGGGTCTGGGACAACAGGGTGGGGCACAGTTGCAGCAGACTGCCTCGTGGCCATCAGAGCAACCTTGTCAGAGCTCAGATGGGCTCACATAACCCCTCTGCTTACGACCCATTGCCTTGGGGTGCCTGGCTGGCTCAGTCCAAAGAGCATGTGACTCTTGATCTCGGGGTCTTGAGTTTGAGCCCCATGTTGGGCGTAGAGATTGAATAAAACTTTTTTTAAAAATCAAAAAAGACCCATTGCCTTGGGGCTAAAGCCCCTCGCTGCCATAGAACCTAGGCTAACATTCAAAATCACATCAGGGGCTCCTGGGTGGCCCAGTCAGTTAAGCATTTGACTCTTGATTTTGGCCCAGGTCATGATCTCGCAGTTCGTGAGCTCGAGCCCTGCATTGGGCTCTGTGCTGACAGCACGGGGAGCCTGCTAGGGATTCTCTGTCTCTCTGTCTGCCTCTCTGCTTCTCTCTCTCAAAAACAAATAAACACTGAAAAGAAATCACATCAGTCAGGCAACCTCTCAGGTCACTCGAACACGACAGCGAACTCCAACTTCTAACAAAAACTTTCGAAAATCCCTTTGTTGGTTAGGTGTGTGTGATCTAAATCGGACGAAGTCACTGGAACCACTCCTGCTGCTTTCTCTTCATTTTATTTCAGGTTCCCGTCTCTCAGGCCACAAACTCATTCCCAGTTAGGACCGTGAGTCCAGGAACCATTCACAAATGTTCCTAGCAGAGGATCTCAGCCCCAGATGGCAGAGAAGGACCGCAACCTAGCACAGGTCTGATAACCAGTCTTGTCCTATCTATGGAAAATCCAGCTATCACTGGAGGGTCTTTGGTGCGCCCTAAAGCATGCCAGCCTTGCATGGGGGTGGACAACTTCCCACCCTCTTTCTGTTGTTTGCTCAGTGGCAGGGACAAGTGTACTGTGAATCAGCGTCCCTCTGGCACACGGTGCCCCCGTGCTCAGAGACCCAGCTTATAGCTGAAGACTTGGAGGACCAGACACCTTCCACCCATGGCAGTGGCCTAGGCCTTGCTTTATCCACAGAACTGGCTAGCCCCAGGGACGACTTACAACATGTCAGGCAGACCACAAAAGGAAGTTTCCTGAGTGTATATACAATACATCTGGGCTCTTTTTTTAGAGACAGAGAGAGCACCAGTGGGGGAGAGGGGCAGAGGAGGAGAGAGACAGAAGCCTAAGCAGGCTCCACGCTCAGCGGGGCTTGATGCCGCGACCCTGGAATCATGACCTGAGCCGAAATCAAGAGTCGGATGCTCAAGCGGCTGAGCCAACCAGGGGCCCCACAATACGTCTGGGTTTGTTTTTTTTTTTTGTAATGTTTATTTATTTTTGAGACAGAGAGAGACAGAGCACAAGTGGGGGAGGGCAGAGAGAGAGAGAGAGGGAGGGAGACACAGAATCTGAAGCAGGGTCCAGGCTCTGGGCTATCAGCACAGAGCCTGACGTGGGACTCAAACCCACGGACTGTGAGATCATGATCTGAGCCAAAGTCGGATGCTTAACTGAGCCACCCTAGGCACACCAATACATCAGTTTTTAAATTGTAAAATAATCCTATATATACAGAAATAAAGAAGTAAAAATGAATACCAATGTATGTACAACCCAGGTGAAATAGTACCCACACCTTGTGTCCCTTCCTGGTCTTGAAACGGGACTTAAGCACTATCCCGACTTTGGGCTTTATCATCCTTCATTTTTCCTTATAGTTTTGGCACTTACGTATGAATTCCTAAAAATATATTTATCTTGTTTAGTTTTGTCTACTTCCGGAATTCATATAAATGGCATCATGTATTCTTCTATGATTTATTTAATCCAACGTTATGTTTCTGAGATTCATTTATGTAGAAGTCACTGTAATCCATGCATTGTCACCACTGTCTAATATCCCATCATAGGAACACTTTGCAGCTCATCCAATCTATTCTGGACGGGTATCTGGGTTGTTTGTTAATCATTTGCTGTATTCTGGAACATCTCCTGATACACCCGGGCCAACACACACACTTCCTTGGCACGCTCCTTACCTTGCCTCATGTACATTTGTTTTTGTTTTGGGAACGCTTTCTCCATTAGAGACAAAGAGAGCTTGCTCGTGGCAGAGAATCGAGGTATGGGGCCAGAGCTTGCCTGTGGCTGTTTGAAGCCCAAGCCGAATGGGTAGAGACCCGGGACAAGTTAGACACTGGTCACACAGAGGCTGGAGACAAGCAAAGATGCAGACGGTAGGGGCTCCCTTGTCCCGGTCTCCTGGAGACTCACTCACCTTGCACCGTGCCCCAAGGATACTGCCGTGCCTTCATCATCTTGTTGCCTATCTTGAGTTCTTCTGTGCTGCCGATGACAGCAAACGGCAGGTGCGCCTGCAAATAGAAGGCAAACCAAAGCTCAGAGCTCCAGGGGAAAGGCACCGAGCGTCCCTCCATACGACTGCTGCCTGGCTCTGGGGCCTCGGGCCCTCATACGGTGGTGTCCCTCCCTGTCGTCATCAAGAGGCATTTCTTTTTTGTTAATTTTTAAAAAACATTTACTTATTTTTGAGTGAGAGACAGAGTGCAAGCAGAGGAGGGGCAGAGAGAGAGGGAGACACAGAATCCGAAGCAGGCTCCAGGCTCTGAGCTGTCAGCATAGAGCCCGACACAGGGCTTGAACTCACGAACACGTGAGATCATGGCCTGAGCTGAAGTTGGATGCTTAACCGACTGAGCCACCGAGGTGCCCCAAGAGGCATTTCTTAAGCTCCGAGCTGTGTGGGCATAAGAGGCCTCACCCAGGCTTCTCCTGTTCAGAAATTCACAGCAGGTGATATTGACATGGCTGAATGCATACAGAACACGCAAAGGTGGAAAATAAGGAGAATAATGAGCAGATACAACGATTAGCTAGTTATTCAGAATTCACAGGTGCTGATGGGGAAAGCCTTTGGAAGATGGGGGAGTGGGATGAGGCACCTACGTGTGGATAGAGAGGCTAAAGGGGACCGAGGGGGCTAGAATCACCGCCCCCTCCCAGAGGGTGAGAGCTCCTGGAAACCGGTACATACCGGTGACTGAGCTGTATACTCCTTGTTCTCATCCTTCCCCAGAGCAAGAGCTCACACTGAACACTTGAGCCTAGAAGTCAAGTCCACAAGTATTTTCCCACATGCCCATGACTGTGCTGGGTTCTGTTTTAGGTGCTGTAAGGGAGGCAAAAGAAGTAGAAGACACACTCCCTCACCCTCTAGGAGCGTACAATCTTGTTGGGGGCACCTGAATTACATACCCAGACTCGTCTAAGACAGAATATGACCAAAGGTTCAAATGTATGGTCCCGTGCCCGCACATAGTAGGTGCTTAATAAACACTCCATGAATGGCAGTAGCAGGGCCATGAAAATAGTAGGGAGGAAAGAAAGACAAAGTACACACAGGGGTATAAGCGTGGTGCTTGCAGGGGTAATGAGGAGCTAGGTCCGGTTGATGAAGGTTTTGTAGGCCAGAGAAAAGGCAGCTGACCCCAACTGGTAGTGTGGAGCTTGGGGAACACAGCGCCCTGTCTCCCAGGGAGCTGGTCAGGTTACAAGTGCCGGGACCACTGGCCAAGTGGAGCCACTGAATAAAATAGTGTTTACAAACCAGGTGATCCTGGGTGGGGCTTTACCCAAAAGGGCTTTACACAGACAAGTAAAAGTCCGCTGGGGGAAGCTTCCTTGGCCTGCTTGGAGAAATAGGCCTCAGTCTCAGATATTTGGACTCATTTGCTTCCTCATGCATTCTACAAATATTTACTGAGCCTCTGCTATGTGCTAGGCATTAGTAGTACCATGTTGAGAAGGCTCAGAGCCTGCCCCTGGAGAGCGCACAGTCTGGTAGGGGAGAAAGACATGCCAGCAATAATACTACAGTAAAGTCTAGATTATAAACAGAGATTCAAGAGCTGCAGGAACAGAGGAGGGAGCAGCTGACTTCGTGAAATCTAAGCGGGCTTCACAGAGGAGGTAGTAACAATTGAATCTTTCCAACAGCACTGTGAAGTTAGGTATTATTATCCCCATTTTATAGAGAAGGAAACTGAGGCCCAGTTGCCAGCAGAGACACCGTAGTAAGGACCAGAGCCAGGGACGGAACCCAGGGTCTATCTGGCTTCAAAGCCCACCACTGGTCTGCCACTCCCATGTAGGGGGTTTGAGCAGCAGATGGGCTGAGCACTCTAAACCCTGGGGCGAACTTGGCCGGGCAAGGCCAGATTATAAGAAGCAGTTCAATTCTGGAAAAATTCAGGGGGCACCGAAGTCCTGAAAACCCTGCCCAAGGGCCAGAGCCTCCCTGACTTCTGCCACCTGGCTTTGTAGGAGGGACATCGGGGCACAATTCATTCCCACTCAGGGCCCCAAGACGTGTTGGGAATCTCAAATCCACCCTCCAACACTTTCTGGGAAAATGCTGTCTCTCTTGCACAGAAGAGGTTCCAAAGCTTCAGCCACGTGACACAAAAATGCCAGAGGGCGGCGATGCCTGAGGGCTAGACCGAGGGAGGAGGTGAGAAAGAGAACCGCCTTGTATCTTTCTCACGCACCCCCGGCTCTCAGCTGAAAGTGATGGAGGAGGGCATGTCAAGTGGGAGGGACTTCTCTGGGTTCTAGAGGAAAGGAGAAAAAAAAAAAAACCACCAGGAAGAGAATAAAGGCATAAAAAACGTCAGGTTTTTATTCCCTTGGGCCTGTTGTTTTTTTTGTTTGTTTGTTTGTTTGTTGTTTTTTTTTAAATTTTTTTCCATGTTTATTTATTTTTGGGACAG